AAAAAAAAAAAAAAAGAAAAAAAAAAGATAAAGAAAGAAAACCCGGAACCCTATCGTAAAACGATTTGTCACCGACGGAATTTAACAGGATATTATGAGGTGCGTAAGCCCATCAAAAAGAAATCTAATGCGATCGCCAATGTTAATTAGTAATCCGAATAAAAAAAAAAAAAAATAAGGATTAAACCGAAAATCGATTAAACGAGGTGGAGATTAAAAAATACGTCGATTGAAAATAATCTCGACGATAAAACCGTAAAAATTATTTTCTTCCGAGATATATCATATTTTAACGAATAAAAAAAAAAAAAAAAAGAATTAAAAAATATATTATCTCGCTAACTTTTTTAATGATTTCGATTGCTTGTTCTTTTTTTTTTTTTTTGGAAAGTGACGAACGTAGACGATCTCGTCGCGAAATATCTTCCTTTATTTTTTATGAGATAAATTGAACCCAAAAACAAAAGCAAAAAAAAAAAAAGAACGAATGAGAATGTGAAATTATCTTATGAACGTTATTAAATGGATATTAAATTTCTATCTCCCCGCTTTTATACCCAATAAATCGTTTCTCACGATGGAACCAACCCATCACGCTCCTCAACCCTCTTTTACACGAAACTTGGAATAATTTTTACATAAATAAGGTGCTTCTGAATGATTCGCTTTCTTGTTTCCGAGATTGCAAGAAAGAAGAACGTCGAATACGTTCTTCTCGGAGAAGAAGTTTTCTCGCAGTGAATATCGCATATAAAATGGAATGAGGAAAAAAAGGAAAAATAACATAGGACACGACTTGTTTGGGCTTTTATATTCGATTGGAAGAAAAGAGCTTGGGGAAAGGTAAAGGAATATCGTTCAAATAAACAGACACACATTGGCCGTGATACGAGCAAATATATCGTCGATACGTCGATCGTATCGACAAGCTGTTGCGCCCGTTATTTTACAATACTCGAGAACATTGTCATTTGCAATAAGGTAAAGAAAGGAAGAAAGAGATCGGATATAATTTATAACGATCCGTAGGAAATTAAAACGCGAAAGAGAACAAAATGAAAAATAGAAATACCTAACGCGTTCTTTTGGATGATTAAAAAAAAAAAAAAAAGAAAAGGCATATTGAATCGAAACCGAGACACCCATTTGTCCGTGCTGGAATTTAATATATACGAAAGACAGCCATTTCATCGAGAAACGCGAATTGTGATTCGTGCGAATAGAAATAAGAAAAATAAACAAAAAAAAAAGAACAAATATAAAATTAATTTAATTTGCAAAATTTCTCGCGCGATGCGAATCGGTTGAAATTAAATCGATTAAATTATTTCTCGTAAGGATCTATTGTTTTAAAAAAAAAAAATGCAAAAAAAAAAGAGATGCCTGGTTTAATAAAAATGTGCGAAACGAGCGGAATAAATGAGAGTAATTAAACGTATCCAACGAACGTGTAAGATTATTTGGATGAAACTCGTACGACGATAAGGGCTTCTTCAGTAGAATGGAATTATTATACAAGCAAAATGAGAAGAACTTTATATCCTCCCTGGTTTTAATTACTCGATGCTTCCGTTTTAATCGTCCTTTCGTTTGGACACGTAGACACGAGACGTAGGAAGAAATAATTATTACAGCCCCTTCGAAGACGCAACCCGCCGTGCTTACTCGCAGAACGTTCGAGCGGTCTGCAGGTGCAGCACTGAAAACGCCTCAAGTACGCGACGCAATGTCGACTTCCTTGATTCTCTTCCTTCCTTCCTTCTCTCGTAAATTTTCTTAAATTATCATCATCTTCTTCTTCTTCTTCTTCTTCAACGATGACAGAGAAAGTGCTTAACAAATCTACCAAATTTACATTTAGTTTCTTAATGATATTCTCATACATTCGTTTCTAATTAATGTATCTAATTTTCTAATTCAACAATCGGGTTGTATTATTTTTTTCAAATGAATTCATATCTTTCAACATGATTATTAATTAATATAAGAGTCATTAAAATCCGCTTTTGCTATAAGTATACAAAATATTTGTATCGAAACTTTTTAAAGAAATTGGAAAGATGCACAATTTACAGCATTGCATTCACTGACATTTTCTGAACTTTACATGCTAAATTTATAACTCGACAAAGTATTCTACGCGTAGACAAAAGAATGTACTTTTATTTAAAAGAAAAAGGAGAGAAGATTTCATTCAAAAGTAATGAAATTATTTTAAACAGTCTGACACTCCAGTTTGTTTTTCCTTTTTTATATATACAATACCGTGAAGTAGGATATTTTCGAGTAGCATTTTAATTTTTAGAAAAGTTAATATAATGTCTAATTTTTACATCAATTTTTGTTTATCTTTTTAAATTAAAAAATTTAATTAATACAATCCTTATATAAATATTATAAAATAGCGAATAAAAATACAATGTTGTATGGAATAAATTTGATATTTATGATAAATATCTCTTTCTCTCTTATTATATTTTACCTAAGTTAAAAAAATAAATGCACTTTTTTACAACAGAGATTTTCAATATTATTTTCTATTATGTTTATTATTCGACAATCGTATCGGATTGAATTCTGAGAATAAGAACTCGATGGTCGTGCTAGATACTCCCTTATCCAGTGTATCGTCCGAAACGTTTTGGGGAAATTCGCGACACTTCGGAAAGTTTTCTACTTCCATTAGGAAGATTGAAAAGCTTTGAGCAGGGTTTTTCCGAGGTGTCGAACGCCGACGATAAAACGTTTTAGTGCTATTTCGTGGAAAAATCATGGAGTAAGTAAAAAGTAGAAGATTAAAATAAACTCATCTGTTCGTGGAGGAGAAGGAGGAGGAGGGAGAGGAGTGATTTAAAAAGTAGAAAAAAGAACAAAATTAAAAGAAAAAAGAAGAAAACAAAAAGTAAAAGGAAAAAGTTGGAAGAATTATTCGAAAGTACTATTATCTGTCGTTTTATTCGCGAGAGAAAGAAATGAAGCAAAAAAGGGTTGAACAAGATCCTGGCCAGAGTCGTGTACATCCACGTGGATCGTAAAAAGGGCTGTGCCGCTCGATGAGGTCCACCTGCAATACGACGAACGCGGTGATAAAATTTCAGGGAGCGCCTGTTTACGGTTACCAAGGAAACCTGCCAACCGGTAGCCATATGCGTGCGTTAGAAACTCGTACGAGGGTGTTCGTCCGAGACTACAACGATCCTTCTCTTTTCTCCTACCAACCCTTTACGATAAGGGATGATCGACGTACGCACGACTTAAGTGTACATAGGTATTTTCCTTTACCACTGAATTCAATTAAATTCACTATATTATTCGAATGTAATTAATCGTAAATTTGTGTTACTTTGAAGTTACGTTAATATAATTTACGTGAAATCAAATAAACCGAGATTTTTAAGCGTACAGATATATTTTCTTTCACTCGCTAAATAAAATCAAATTTGATTTAATGATTGATCTGATTCATTTATTTGACTTTAAAAAGTACGACTTTAATCATCCACCTGTACCGTGGATCGGCACCAAAATGTTTGAATAAATATTTGTGTTTATTTTTAAATGAAAATATTATTAATATAACGAAATATAAAATTATTAAATAATATTTTAAAAAGCCTAAATAATATTAATACATTACTTTTTTGCAGATTTTGTTGAACAACGATAACATTGAGAAAAAAAATCTCGCTTTACAGTGACTTTAATAAAATCCACCATGCCGATGGAGGGTTAAAGTTTTATGACGTTATATTATAGTGAATCAAATAAACTGAGATTCAAACGAACAAATCTGTTTTTCTTTTTTTTCTTATCAGTATATAAATTCACGCGTGTCCACGTAGGGTGTCTACTTTGAAGTCGCAACGTTGCAAAAATAAATTAAACAAAATGAATTAAAATTATGTAAATGATTTTTAATTAACGCTATATAATATATCAACGAGTTATGAAACAAGTTTTTCTTCAAATACGAGTTTTAAAGATAGTACGAATGTTTTGCCAAGTTACTATAAGTCTTCTCAGGAATCTTGATCGATCCATTCGTTCTATGCGCTAGCATACGAACGTGACAGCACGTATGTATCCTTGAACTGGTTCGAGGTTCGCGAACCTGCCGTTTTCTCACGACAACGTGCACGCAAATCGAGCCTAAGCAAGATTAACCGACGACACGTTCGTTCTATGGTGAATCAACTTGAATGATGCTATTTCCATCATGATTTACTGGAGTACAAAGATCGAACGCGATACGAATTATCTTGATCTTCTTTTGTTTT